CTCTCTTGAGTAAAAATGTTGGGAGAAGGGTTATGGAAACCCAACATACCATCACTTTAATTCCCCAGACGCATTTCACATGCAGTGAGAACCATTCGGTATAAATGTGAGCAATTTTTGAGTTGCTACTCCAACGTTAGGGCCGATACTTGGTGTAATTTCAGTGTTTTTCAGTTTTGCTGGCCTTTTTTCGGAAAAAAACTCGGAGTTAAAGACACTTAAACCCAAAATACCATTGATTTTATTTATCAAACATATTGTACACACAGTAAGGACCATTCAGGCAAAAATTGAGCGATTTTTGAGTTGACTTTTCAGGGTAATGGTCGATTTTCGGAACAATTTTGGCGTTATTTTCAGTTTTTTAGGCCTTTTTCGGACAAAAGTGGAAAAAAAAAAATACTGAAGCCCAAAACGCCATCAGAATTGTTCTTTAGGCGTCTTTCTAATACTCTTAGGAGCACTTAAAAAAAAAATTGGAGCAAAAAATAACTTGCAGCTCAAAAGTTATGGGCATTTGAAGAGGGGAAGGTTTTGTCGCTAAAATCAGACAAAATCACAACGAACAATCAACCGCAGCACATCAATGAGTGAAGTCGAACATTTTATGCATTTTTTTCTCAAATCTACTTACTTTCATTGACATTGTGTCAAATTTTCACTTCAATTCGACGAAAAATATGCCCGGGGTGAATTTTTTTGGGAAAAATGACCCTCTCTTTCTCGGAAGTTCAAAACGTCTCTTTCTTGAAAATTCTTAAAACTTCAAAAATTCATATCTCAGTGAGTTTTTCGATTTCAGACCTAATATTTTGCAGAAGTTCATTATTTGGTTCATTATTGGTGGTCTGATCAAGAAAAAAATGTATCATCAAAATCCGAGTCGGGCGGTTGCATGGCTGGTAGGTTCTATATGGAATGACCCTGATGTAATTTCTAGGCTTCATGACTAACATTTTTGATCAAGTACTATCGAACAATTAATTTTATTCTACTCCGATGAGAAATAAAATTGCTTTTGCAAGAGTGTTTTTCATCACATGTTGTGAATCAAAAGATAAAAGAGATACACAAATTGACTTGATGCATGTATAAAATTATGACACAAATTAGTATGCATGAAAATGAGCGACTCAAAAATTACAGTTAATTGAAGAGAAAGGTGCCAGCTGACTCAGTATGTGAGAGGGCGTTTCCTGCCTCCATAGTTTTTTCCCGCCATATTTGTACAGTTGCATCAAAATGTAACCATGCTCTATACATGAATATCTAAATATTCAATAGTTGTAAGCTTACAAGTTTTCAGTTATCAGTTAAAGCTAGATCGGCTTCTTGCCTCTGGATGGCAATACTTTATCTGATTAGCAGGCCGATTGGGAGAACCCAAATTCTTCTCAGGCCCCTGCAAAATGGACTTATTATAACATTTTCACTTGCCTTTAAACAAAAAAAAAAAGTGTTTTATTGGTTTAAAATTTTTAGGTGGTGTTTCTTCACCTTTATTTTTTCTGGCTGACACCTTGTTAATGCATAGACTTGAGCACGACACTGAATTAAGGCAACATTTTACAAGACTAAATAACAACAATGAGACTTTCAGGCAATTTGACTGTACTAAAGCAGACAAATTTGAAAAAAGAGAGAAAGAAAAAACAAAAGCTCTTACAGATCTATTATATTGACTGATATGAGGTTAGTAGAAAATAAAATCAGGTAACCAGGACGCACTCAGTAATAATCACAGTTTCACTAAAAGGTTTTGGATGTATGACACAACATTTTTATCCTGCAAAATGTCCATGTGATCGACTTTTGGGAACACCTGAAAACATAATAAGACATGAGAGAGAAAATTCCACGATTTGATTAAGAGGGCTGACACAGTGACCCACAGTATAGAGACTAGTCTTTGTACGTACATATACATATGACAAATTTTCTCCATGTTAAAAAACTTTCGTACATGTTGTCATTGGATCTTTTGATTTTACTCTGCTTAAAAATTGGAGAGCTCATTTGCATAGCACTTAACTTTCAAACTAGAACATCATGCATGATGTCTCCATTTCGCTTCATGAGAGTCTTTTTTTCTCCTGACGAGCGGAATCAGCGTCAACTTGCCTGCCCTGTTTGAAACTCATCAGAAGTAAATATTACGATCCAATGGATATTTTTTAAATACGAGGGTCATCCAAAAAGTAAGTTCACCCCTTTCATATTTCCGAAACTAAAAAGGATAAATCAAATCGGTAAAAATGAACTTCTTACTTATATCCTCAGCTCTTCATAGGTACCAAGATTTTTAAATTTGGACCACTGGTTGCCGAGATATTCGATTTTTACGTGAACAACTCCCGGCCAGTTCCGTCCACCAAACGACGCGCTGATGTGAGATGCACCGCGTGCTGTCGCGTCGCTTTTGTCTTCTGGGACTCTCAAGGAGTACTTCTCGTCTATTATTTGGAGAAAGGGTGTACAATCAATGCACCACGGTATTGTGGAATATTGAATTCGTTGCGATTGGCAATAAAAAACAAGCGACCGGGTCTCTTGTCTCGTGGTCCTCTATTCCTTCACGATAATGCCAGACCTCACACGGCGAAAGAGACCCAAAATTTGTTGGATAAATTTGCGTGGGAGGTGTCACCTCATCCTCCATACTCTCCAGACCTTGCCCTGAGTGACTTAACATCTTTTTGAGCAACTCAAGAAGCACCTAGGTGGCCAGCACTTCGAGAACGATCAGCAGGTGATGGAAACAGTCAATGGCTGGTTCAAGAGTCAACCAAAAGTGTTCTTTGAGAACGGCATTAAGAAGCTTCAGAAACGCTATGAAAAATGCATCAATAGGAATGGAAATTACGTCAAAAAATAAGGTAAGATTGTTTTAAAGCTAATCTTAGAATATTTGAGTTGGTTATTCCTACGTAGATGTGTGGGGAACGCAGTCAATTCAGGTAGCGTGACGGGAATCGCAGCGCGTCGTTTGGTGGACGGAACTGGTCGGGAGTTGTTCACGTAAAAATCGAATATCTCGGCAACCAGTGGTCCAAATTTCAAAATCTTGGTACCTATGGAGAGCTGAGGATATAAAAAAGAAGTTCTTTTTTACCAATTTGATTTATCTCTTTTAGTTTCGGAGATATGAAAGGGGTGAACTTACTTTTTGGATGACCCTCGTACTTCATAAGTAAATCAAAATAAAAACTCCTTTTAAACATACTTCACCATTATTGATCATACGGTGTTCTCATTTCGGAATTTTTGGCAAAGAAACATAAAATTTACAAGATCAAAGAGAAATTGTGTAAAAACTGAATGTTTTTTAAAATTTTTTCAGGTGATGGATAAGAAGAAATAAAGGGGAACATTTGTTACCTGATGGTAGACTTTCTGTTTCTGTTTGCCAGTCCAGTAGACGCAGCCTTCCAAACTCCTCTTATTTACCGTTCCATCTCCGTCTCCAAAAGAAAAAGTTGGGTAGCCACCAGGCCATTTGCCTTTTTTGTAAATCATTCTAAAATAATAAAAAAAAGGTGTGTTAAAATTGAATGAGAATCTTCCATTATCTTTGAGCAAATTCATTCAGTGGATGGAAAGGATTGAATGGTGTCATTTAAAGTTCATTTTATCATATTATATTGTGTGCTTTATGTAAACTTTTCCGCAAACCATAAAAGCCGCAGCACCATAATTTTTGATAAATGCAAATTATTAAGAGAATATTTCGAGGATTTTTAGGTATGATAAAGATAATTCAGAGGGACATGTTAATTCCTGAACATTCTAAGGAGGCAATGTGTTAATTTTATCTGAACGTTTTCATTATTACATACAACTTACTTTTCGACTGTGTTAACGCCATAACCATGAAGACAATGAACCTCAACACCAGGAGGTGCAAAGCGCTGAGCGTACTTAAGAACATCTTTACGCATTTCCCATCCAGTTGGATAAGAGATATCACTGGAAAAAAATACACGCCACACAAAAATGTTATTATGGATATATTGAGTTTAGGTACTCTACTTTGTTATTTCTTGAAACAGAAAATATCATTGATTGTGTATTTCAGAATATCTGGCAAATAAAAATGTATTGAAATTGAGATAATGAAAATCTCAAACGATTGAAAGATCGGCTCTGTTTCCCATACATGTTGATCTCAACATTCCTGAATGTGAATCATCCTAAATAAGGTTGCTGAAAAAAAATATATTCCTCCCATCATGTACAGATACATTATTAATAAAATGGTGCAACATGCATTCCCTTAACTACAAAGTAGAGTGGGTTCAAAATGGTGGCCTTATTTCTGGCAAGTGAGTCGCAGTAGAAGAGGACAGATAAGGATATAGCAGTGCAGTAAAACATCATTGGAAAAAAACCCTGAAATTGTAAAGAAGGAGTCAGAGCTCCTAAACACAAACTATGAGTCAACCTACTTTTACTAACACATTGACAGAGCCCCTGAACACAAGCCTTCCAAACAGGCAAGTGACAAACAAAGGGGAAAACCACATTAGGCAAAAGTCAGTTTAACATCCATGCCTGTTCTACTTCTACCATTGAAGTGAGTATTGAAATATTTTTGCTTCGGCCACTCTTCAAAAAATTTGTCCAGTGGCTTTTTAATTAGAGGGGACTGAAATTGAAATACATAAATTTTAAAAAAATACATACTTGAAAAAGTCTTCGAAGTCCTCGAGGGTGTAGTTGCGGGATTCCGTCTCAATAAAGACTTCATTCGGCTTCCAGAAAAGGTCTGACGGAAGCAACCATGCCACACTTGGCATTGTCATTTGAACACCTCGCAAGACAGAGCTTTGTAAGAAGTACTCCCCCAGATCATCTCCTGCAAGATGACAAGCAGATGGATTTGAAGAGGGAATGAAGAAGTCTACCTGCAATGGAAACTCTAAAGGGGTACTCTAAAGTACAAGATTAAGTGATTTAATTCTGACAAAAGCATCCAAATCTTTTTCCTATCTTTCATCAATGGGTGAAGTAAAAAAAAATGCATACCTCAGAATGCGTTGTCCTAAGCCTCTGCTCATGTCTCATTTTTTTAGAGAAAAACTAAGTGACAGTTTCTGCAGAAATTTTGGGTAAATTCTATTCCTCCATTCTTGAAAAATCAATTAAAATTGTATGAGGACATTGTGATTGGTTTTCCTTGAAGAAAATAATACATAATTGGAGATTTTCAAACGTTGCAATTAAAAAACTCTTTTTATGTATTTACCAATCAAACTTTATGATCTTATCTGTAATTGAAACTATTCTTCAATTTAAGAGAGGATGGTAAAAGTAAAAAAAATG